TTCTTTTAAAAAAATCTATGTTTTTTTAATGCAGTGGTTGCCAAACATTTGTATGCTAAGACGACCCCAAACAGCATTCGCTTCTGGCAGACGACCCCATTTGCAAACCCACAGACATAAGTCGCTTCTGGCGGACGACCCCATTTGCAAACCCACATAATCTGTTAAGAAACATCAACTATTATTTAGAAATATTTTCTGACATCTATTCACTATTGTTTTTGGTTTTTATCATTGTTGTTGTTCCCAGCACACAATAAACTTGTCCTAGGTGCATTCAGGTACCATCAGAAACCTGAGAACTGGATGATTACGGCAGTTTACATGTTGTGCGGTTCAGAACGAATGATTATTAAAAACTAAAAATAATTCAACAATTTTCTAAGGTCTCTCTATCGCCCCCTATCGGCTCTGTCGCCCACAATTTGAATCCAATGGCTTAATGAGCTCGTTTTCGAGTCAACACCATTGTTGTTTTTGAATGTGTTTAACACTGACACAGTCTCCGGGGTCAAACATCTGTCAACAGCTCCCACTGCAGGAAAAGGTGTGTGTTTTCATTATTGTCGTCGTGGAGATAGAGATAATGGGTCACGTAAACCCTGAAACGTGATCATTTAACGCTAATCACTCAGTAAGAATCTGTTTAGGAGGGAAGAACGTGAAGGAAACTGATTGAAAAAGCTTTGCTCAAACATTGCGGCTGACTCCAACCTTTTAGCAGGGCTTTAAAGAATTATGTGTAACCAGCAGCTGCACTCATCCAGCCTCCCAGTGACTGAGCTCCATAAAAGCTGTCAGTATTTAAACAGTGTATTACTCACTGATCTGAGCTCCGTATGAATCAATTCAACTTACAAACCAGAATTTATAACCAGAAATTATAAATTGAATAATAATTATTAAACAGTGAAGAAAAATAAAGGCTGTCAACTGTCATCTGGGTCAGCGTCTTCGTTTGGGCTTCGTAACAGAAGCTTGAGAAGATGACCAGAACGTTTTATATTGGAAATCTAACAAACAAATTTACCGTAAAATACCTCAATATAGAGAAACTTCCATGGAACGGATTTAAAAAAAATCTGCGATGTAGGCAGCGAAAGGAGAACCACGATATAGAGAGGTAACACTGTATATCTTTATGAATGAGACTAGATAGGACTCCTGTCTGCCACTAGAGGGACTCAGGGCTCATTATAACGTTGTTTTGTTTTGTTTGTTTCTTTGTTTTAACAAGGGCGATGTACCTGGTTAACTTAACCAGTTAACTGCCAAAAAAAACTGCAACACTAGTTGAGATTTCTCAAATTGCTTAAAAAAAAGCACGAGTACATTTTTTTATACAGTAGTTCAAAATTAGGTTTAAATAGTTTCACGTCCTTGAACTAATCCAACTTCCTAACTCAGACAACAAGGTTTCGAGGGTCCAGATGAATCACCTGCACTCGTGCCCAGCTCAGCTTATTTTCATTATTATCAAAAGGAATAATAACGACTTTATACACATTAAATATTAATATATATATATAAAAAGTCATGAATATCCAATCATTAGAGAGGCGGCAAATTACTATCATATCTCTTTTCTTCACGCCTCATTAAAGACGACTCTCTGGAAAGCTTAACCGTGCATGATGGGAGACGGAGGGATAAAAGGCTAATGTGATGATGCTTCAGAAACTTTCTTTGAGGATTCTGAAGACAGAGCAGAGGAGCACCGTGAATAAAATATGACCAGAAGAGTGCAGCCCTAATTGGAAATTAAAAATCTGTAGTGAAAACGACCTCGGAGCTTTAATCACACCTCAGCGCCGCGTTTTCCCGTAAATCATAAGAACCGCTTGACCTTCAGCGACCTGCGGGGGTCAGAGGAGCTGCCACTCTGTTCACTCCTGTTGACTGTCGCAGATACTGGAGCACTTCAAACAGCGACCACCTGACACATCAATCCTAAACCCCCAAATCAATACTGAACACAGGCTGCATTTAAATGAGTGGATCCAATCTATGGCTCGCAGTCATTTGTCTTTTATCGCAAGCAGCGGGTCGATGCCAAACTTCAAGGTCATCACTGGTGTAAAGAAAAAAAAACAAACACCGAACGGAAAAACCGACGGAAGGCTTTGTCACATGTCGGTCTGCGATGGACACTTGAAAGTACAGTTTCATCTTGAAAGCTCTCGAACAAAAACATTTGTCAGATGAGCCCGTCCGACTGCCTGGCAGCTCGGTCTATTGTCGTCGGATATGGAACGTGGATCGTTTTTCCTGCTGCCTTTGTTGCGGATTAAGACAAAGTAGAGCCGTCTGGCCGGGCAGACAGGAGCCACCTATAGCCTTGAAATGTAGGATGAGTCATTTGGAACATTCCGGAAAGGATTTCAACACCCCCCCCCTCCCCGCCCCCCACTCACCTCCCTCACCTCCCTCACCTTCCCCCCCTCCTATTCCTGTCTTAGGGCGTGAATTCCACAGGTATTCTCCAAACGTTTGGAAGCACGTCAACCTGCTGCCAACTGGGAGGATAATGCTTTTCAACGTGTCCAGTCTGTCAATAATGAAAACACGTGACACTTAAGCACACACCCACGCAATGGAACACCACAGGGTCCACTGATCCCAGGTCAGAGACTGAGATGTTATCTCCTCAGGAGCGGATGCACTCCTGAAATCACTCAACGCAGCTCCTCCACTCCGCTCCACACTGGGCTGAATCAGCAGTTTCTCACATCACAACACCCCCCCCCACCAACCCCCCAGTGCCTCCCTTGGTGATTAAATACCTCCCTGCTCGCAGTTGGTGGTAAAGCCGGATTCTTAGTAATGGATAGGTATCACGTATGCTGTGGATTCAAAATTTGCCTGACCACAGTGAGCAGTGGTAATCCTTCGACTGCTCAGAGCGGTGATTTTTCTTTGTTCAGGTCTCAAAAAAAAGAAAACCATGATAATATGTGCAGATCAGTGTGAGCAGTTCCAGGCAGATCCACCATCCTGACTCCTTTGTTTTCTCTTCTCATCACCAGCTTATGTTCTGGTGTTTGGGCACAGCGCTCGGGGACATTAGCCATGTGTTTATTGTGTCTCCCAGCTCTGGGTTAAGACTCACCTTGATTGCAGGTCTTGCCGGTGAAACCAGGGTGGCATTTGCACTTGTTAGGTCCCACGCAGTCTCCGTGCTTACAGGCGGGCTGGCACACAGCTGTTTTCAGAGAAGAAGAGACGGATCAGTGCACAGTGCTGCGCCCTGACACACTTCTGGTAGCAGATCTGAATGACAAAGAACTTAACCCCACCACTCCTCGACTCCTACAACCCCTCGGCCATAAATGATCTGTTTATTCCACATTACAGCAGTGAGGCGCCGCGGAGCCTCATCCAACAAGAGAATGTTTTTGTTTGTTCCTCCCGCTCTGACAGCGCTATTATCACTGACAAGTAATGATAATAAAGCAGCGTTTTCCAACACTGGCCATTGTTATTCATAAGAAGTTACGAACAGGAAGTTCAAACATTCCAAACTGAGAAAAGTTTGACATTTCCCTGTGTTATTATGCAGGACTGATATTTGCTCTGGCGTGCAGTGAACACAAATTCTGCGTCGATATAAAATTTCCTGATGACTAGAGCTGTAACAATTACAGCGCCAAATAGTAAATTATGGTGAGTGCCCATAACTCTACGCAGTACATTGTGAAAGTAAGTGGTAATATTTGGACTATCTGTGTACCGTCTGGGTGAGCCAGCGGCTGGAGCTGCTTATCTCGCCGTTCTTGAAGCAGCTTACTGCTGAGCACGGCTGATACGCACGGCTTCAGCCGAGTGTTACTAATTTTTATTAAAAGCTTGATTAATTCTGTCACAATTCAGAGCATTCAGAGGACTGGACTTCCTCCCTGGTGTAAAATAAAAATCACTGTGCCTTGGATGTACTTTAGTTTGTTATGAAGTGAATTCTGGACACTGCACAATAACATATATTTTTGGGGTGACATCGCTGCAGGCTGCTATTGTGTCAGCAATGACAACCGTGTCGGTAAATGACCTCCAGGAAAAAGGTCGTGTTTGTGCAGCGTCAGTAAAACCACCGGCTTCAGTGCTACAAAAATTCACAGTACACAAGCATGCGGTTTCTACGAATAAAAACGTTATAATCAAAAGTAAACGTATGGATTTTCTTTCATGGATTAAAGCAAGTGTTTGGTGGTAAGTCCGATGCATGGACTCTGCCCTCAGTCTGTGTTTTCTCTTTATCCAAATTTCATTTTTTTAAATGTTTGTTTTTTAGGTCTGATGATATTGATTAATACAAATCTATACCTGGAATTTGGTCCAAACCTTATCTAAAATAAACAAGTGATGTACAGTATATAAACACTACAGCCTGTGTGACCCACATTACTGTAGAAATGTCCCTCACCACTGGGTGGACACTGTCCTTACCAAACTATACCACCGGGTGTCTAATTATTGTTAAATGAGATTTGGATGCAGAAATGATAAATATTCAATTTTCGGTTATAATAAATGTTGAGGAGGAGAAGTAACCAAAAGATTATTTTCTATCATGTTGTAATATACTGGAAATACAATATTTCCAGTCAAATGTGCAACCGTGGTGTGTGTTTGTCCTGATCATAATGTTAAATATCCAGTAATATTTCCAGTCAAATGTGCAACCGTGGTGAGGATTACACTTCCTACTGTAGAAATACTTTTTTTGTGAGTAAGAAAATAATAAACACTGACATTAGTTACGACATCTGTAAGAGAAAAGTAAAAATAATCGATACGTGACCTCGGTTATTAAATTTAATACACACAAATGCCAGAGGGCGAAACTAATTTAGCTTCTTACTGTATTTTCAACAGGATAAAACCAGGCTGTGTAATTAAATTCTGCTCGACTTATGTCGGAGATGATCCAAGTGATGAAGTCAGTATCATACTGGGAACTTTAAATACTTTTCTCACACCATTAAAATTGTCAGAAAGTCGTCTGGTCAGCGGGTTTTAAACAACATGAGGCTGACATTAAAGGATAAATCAACGTCCAGTTTTTAAAAATTGACCTCCTGGGTGGGGGGTGGGGGGGGTGATTGACAGGATTGGAGGACAGGCTGTGTCTCTCAGAGTATTTTGAGTCTGCGGCCTGGCAAAGACATCAGGAAAACGGCGTGTGTTCATAAACCACAGCAAAGGACATGGACTAAAAATGGCCGTGCCAGCTGGAAGGCCAAACATAGAGTGTACAGTACGACGCCCGCTCTGTAAAAACGTCAATACGTGTCGAGTGGTGACACACTTTCCCAGAGGTTTACATCAGCCACTCCACTGGACACCAGTGACTAGCCAGAGAATAAGGCGACTTTTAAACTTTGAATGTTTCACATGTTTGGTCAAAGATAAATATATACATATATGTATATAATAAAAAATACATATATTTATACAGTGAAGCTGTGTATATACTGTATATGTTGACATGCATGTCTTTTGTCTTTCCTATGATTAAAAAAACAAGGACTTTACACATTGAGTCTGCCTGAAGTCTCTATTTGGTTCTTTTCTGTTTTCTTTTTTTTAATTAAAACTGAGCTCAACTTCAGCATTTTTTTGTGCTGCTTTTGTGCCCCCGCCCCTGACCTTTAATGTTTTAGCCAGGACAGGAGGCCAAAGAGCATTTATAAAATCTGCAAGATTTTGTCTTTGAAAAACACACTTCAACTTCAACGTCAACCCTACGTGTTAGTGTGAAAATTGTATGCACTCAGTAAAAAAAAAAAAAAAAAAAAAAAAAACAAAAAGATTTTTTGCACATATTCCACGTCGCTGAGGGGAAGTGAAATCTTAATAAGGCGCTAAAGAACTTTAGCTTAATCCATGTTAGACATGTCTTTAGGTGAAATCAAGCTGCAATAGCATGAGCTGTTTGCAAAGATCTGTGGCCGGAGGGAAGGAGACGGCTGCTGCCAAGAGGTGTGAGGTGTGGTGTGTAGTTACAGGCGCTGGGAGTGGGCTTGGCTCTATAAATAAGTGAGCGAGCCCAGGATTGTGAGGGTGCCCCCAGCGATACATGTCTGGAAAGATTATTTTCAAGAAGCAGGTGGAGCTAACCTTGGGGCTGGCACCTTATCCCGACTACTCTGTGAGTTAAGGCGTAGAGAGCTGCAAAACAAATAGCCAAACAAACAAAAGTTGCAGGTGCTGTTTAGTCTTAAAAAAAAAGAAGAGGAGAAAAAAACAAACATGATGTTAGAGGGCAGAATATAATTAAATTCATGAGCAAAACGTCCTGGAAAAAGAAAGAAAACAATAATAATATTAATAAAAAAATAACCACATGCTCACACAAGGTCTGGAGTTCTGGAGTCGCACGTATTCCCAGGCTTCAGTTGTTTCTTTTTAATGGTCCAAAACAAACCTTTGTCCTGTGGGTGTGTTTGTGTCTGACCTTCTTTTTATTTAATCTGAAGGGGAATTCATTAGGGCTCTCAAATCTGTACCTAATTAATTACTAACTATTAACTAGGCTAACTGTTGTTTAATCGTAATCAACAATTAACTGTGTTTTCACCTGTTTTTTATTTGTGACTAATCCAAATGTTGGAATTATTCATTTGGAAAATGTCAAAAATATCTCGACAGATGAAGCAGGATATTAAGATAGCATTTGAAGCAGTAGATACTTCGGTGAAAGTCCGGTGTAAAGTCGTGCCCTTTGTGTTGAAGGATGTTCAGTGGAGAACAGTGCCTAACCAGCGGGGGCGCTGTTCTCTATTGTTTTTTGTTCTCCATATTCAGTACTAATGTTGTTCCAATGCTTGATCTTGAGTTACACCATGACTGATCATCATGGACACGGAAGTGAATAAATATATATTTTGAAAAAGTTCTCTGGAACTCTAATGAATTTTTGATACTGAATCGATATCAAATCAAATTGTGATAAAAAAAAATCAAATCGAATCGTGAGATTTCTAACAATACCCAGCTCTAGTGGAATTATGGGATATATAATGAGTGTCATCCTGCCCATGTGTTCACATGCTGTTACATTTTAATCTGATTATTTTCACCAATTCATTCGAGCGATTAATGCATTCATTTTGACAGTCCAAGTTGTTTTCCTAAAGTCCAACCACGCCGCAGTAACACATCCCACCACTAAGGCGTAACAACTGGTCCAGTGTCTGTGATATCAGACGACAGCTGTTTGCGGCTGTGGCTGACAATGAAAAGTCCTTTTCGACCCCTGAAAGTCGGAACTGTTTTCAATTCTTCCCATCTCGTTTCTTTCACAAACAAACGTCTCCATTGTAGTTTTCACTTTATTACCACGGGCTGATGAAAAGGCACACTTTGACTGGGGCCTTCACAGCCCAGTGGCCATGAATGGGAGTAGAACAGATGAGAACGCTGCCCAGATGATGATGGTGATAAGGAGAATCAGTTGAGCTGAGATATCACTCCTCTGACTCTGCCTCCCTCTCTTGTTAGCTCACATTACCAATTCAGTCGCCTGCTTTAATCCTGTTCACTCCACTCGCACAGAAACAAAGACTCCACACAATTAAACTAAAGCCCGGTCTACGAAGACTGACAGACCACGCAGGGACTTCTGGGAGAAACGACTGCGAACTGTTCAGTATGGAGGTGACATCTGCGGCGGCTAAGACCAAAGCTACGTGCATCTTTTTGTGTAAGTGTATTTCGGAAGGTCAGAGGTCAAAGATTAAAGTGAATCAGAGGACAAGAACTTTTAAATGTCCCTGACTTGACCTCTGACATGTAAAACTTCTTGGTAACCGGTGTCTCCCTTTAATTTTCAAAGCTGAAAAACATTTTTCCCCAACGTCTTAAAGGTCAAAAAATATCCTCTAACCCTCGAAATTTAAAGGAATAGTACACATTATCTCATTATTTATTATCTTCAGAATACGTTTTTGTGGAGTTCAGGTGTGTGTACGGAGCAGGCCGTGGTCATACACACAGACACACTCCTCTCCTATGAACCATCTACACACCACCGCCATGCTTTATCTTCTATTTTACTCTAGATGGGACTAGAATTTGTACGAAATATAAAAGTTCTATATCTACGGTACGTATGGTCTAGGGTTGAACTAACAACAACTTCTTGAAATGCAGAGAAAAAAGAAATGTGAATTTTAAAATGCTAACTCTAACCTCCAAGTCGAAATGCTCACGGCGGCAGTAAAACAATCACGATGGCAGCCGCTTCTTCTAACGCCCTGACACTCTGTCAGAACGTTATGAATGGAGCTTCAGCGTGTTATAAATCTGAAACTCTGCTCTTTTTTCCTCACCCACAATCCACTTGACTTCCACACTCGTCTCCCTTGTCCCGACTCCGACAACAGAAGCTCGACTTCTGAACCGCGGCCTGAACATCTCCAAGTTTCAACTTCCTGCAGCTTATTGCGTCACCTGTCACTCTATTTTGTGGTTTTTGAAGATGTTCCCTTACATATATATATAAAAAAGGCCTGGGTCGATCCATTTCTCATCATTTGAGAGAGAACTCACGAACTTATCGCTGAGCTCCACAGCAGAGGAAGTCGCCATCCTGGAGAGTGTCAATCTGATCTCTCTCACTGCCACGAAAATGTACCTGGATCTGAAAACACACACACAGTCTGTGCCCCCCCCCCCACACACACACTGAGGTTCTTGATCTAATACCTGAGCTAATCTCAAGTGAAAGCCAGGAAAGCATTAAGGCAGCAGCCGCTTCATGACGCGACTCAAGAACAACCAGGTTTTTTTCTCTGTAAACAGGTGAAAAAAGGAAACCGTGATGAGACTGTGGTTCAGATTCTAATTGGTCCATAATTGTGGTTCAAATGGAACCTGTGTGACTCCAGAACAACAGAGAAAAACATGTTCCCACACTGCTTTCTGGGTGGTCCATCACTGAGGGACACTAATGGTGGTCCGTCATTGATGCTAAGATGAGGATTTTTTTTTTTCAGCTGACTGTATCTTTTTTTATTATTAAACAAACACCAATCCACACGACTGAAGGCTAAACAGTGATTTGATGATTTATTTCGTCCCTCAGTAAATTTTTTATCATCATTAATGTTTGTTTAGATGTGGAGAATATGTTAGCGCCGTGTTGTAACACATCCTGCTTCCGTAGTTTACCATCTTTTTTTTTCGTCCTCATCCAAAACTGACATAAATTCTTCTTTTTAAATTTACACCAGAAAAGCGAACACTCCGGTGCAGATGCACAGAAAGGTGCTGGGCTCTGACACGGTTCCGTCCT